TAAAAAGAATTGACTGGAGCGGGCACGGGGGGGGGGGGGGGTTGGCTTTTTTTTACCCCAGGGAAAAAACTCATCACTTTCCCTTTTAATTGCATTCAACTCTCCTTGGAATACTTAACATAGCTACAAGCTGTCTGACTTTCAGTAAATGGCGTATTCCTCTAATTGCAAAGGCTTGAGAGCTGTAACAGCTTGGTAAAACACAAACCAGTAAGGAATTCCAGACCAGGCAGAGTTTTGTGGGAATCCTCTCTATTTTTCAGTTGTCATAGTATACCAAATCTCATCTGTCTTGGGCAGTGTAAGCACAGTCACCAACAGGCTTGCACAGTGCCTGGTCTCCCTGCGTTCCCAGAATACACGAGCCAAGAGTGGCTCCATCACACTAAAGGTCAATACATGAAGGCCTCCAGTAAGATAACAGGCAAAATTATTTCTCTCCGCGCTACAATTTCATCAACTTTAAACAAAGTTGAGCACTTTGCTGCTTTACAGAAGAGGGGGAGAGGAGCTGGGATGTTTACTTTTTAGTGTTTTGGGGATCTGCTGGCATCCTGGCACTGAGCAGAGGAAGGCATGGCATGATGCTATGGCATGATAGCTATCCCACAGGAAAGCTCTTTGTTGCCTACAAACACATTGATACCAAATTCATATTCAGAAGCCAAAGCTCCTATCCAAAACTTTACAGAACTTCTCCGTTTGGCTGGTTCAATATTTTGATTCTCTCCAGGTTTGGAGAGTGGGAACAAATCTTACTATTTCCCCTGGGGATGAATATTCAGTTTCTCAAGAGTTCATGCCAATACAGAAGACAGTCCCCCCTGGGTGTTACAAGGCATCCCGCACACTCAAGAGACACGAACGCAGACCCTGGCTGCAAATCAAAGTGCTGGAGACTGCCGAGCTGCCACTGGTGGAAAGACAAAGCACGACTGAGAAATATTTAACTCATCTGCTATATGGGATCACACAAGATGTCAAGGCTCAAGACCTTTCCCACAAGTATGCCACTTAGTGAATAATTTTCATTTCCCAACCATCTCTCTGAATGTTTTTTAGGAAATGAGCCCTTTATGGTTGATGCAGTTCTAGTCTTTCTGGCCTCACCAAAGTCCCCAGAGGAAAGCCAGATGTTTTCCCAGACATGTCACTCCTACCCTACAGCCTAGGTAAAACATGGAGACCATGCCCAGGTTATATATTAAATCCAAGTCTGAACCTGTATTTAAACATCTGGACCATGAGCACCCCACTCCTGGGGCTCTAATGATCCCGCCACAGATGTGGGGGCCAGGCTGGGTCCCCAGCACACACTTGGAGTGAGAAACAGGATGCCAAGAGGCACTTTGGGTGGCCATTTTTTCCCACCTGTCAGCAACACCTCACCCCAGGGGAAAAAAAAAAAGAAAAAAAAGGAGATCGGGGGCTCCAATACCCCTCTTCCCTCCCAGCCTGCGATACAGCCGAGCCCTCCCAACTTGCAGGACTCCCCAGGCTGACCCTAACAGTACTGCAGTGTGCTGCACCACATGGCTGAAGAGCAGCCACAGAGCATGGCTTTAATTAACCCATTAGTTTAGTTAATTGTTCTTTCAATTAACCTGTTAGTTAACCTGCCTGCAGGGTCAAGGTGTTGACCCCCCCCAGCTATTGCTGAAGAGCACAGCAGGGCAGCTGGTGACTGGCTGCCAACTACTTCTCATTTTTCACTCTCCACTGTGGCTGCCCAGATCAGGCCCCCCCAAGCTGAGATGGTGCCAAGAGCGGAGTTTCACAAGGGGAAAGGAAGAGATTGATGTTTCCCCAGCCCAGCCATGGCATGCCACTTACCACTTCAGGTGCAGGCTTTCGGCATTCACCTCGATAGTTTACCGTGATGTAGTTTGAAGCTCTCCTGCAAAGGGAGGACAAGACATTGCTTATTATTCACTTGCAATGCCACAGCTCTCTGCCATCGGCATGACAGTCCTCTGTGGACTCCTTAATACCTTGATGCTACTTCCAATATGATCTCATTTATTACTCCCCAAACAATCTTATGATCTGGCAGAAAGGGAATAGGGGACTCTGGAAACTTATGTATCTTAATTAGCTGTCATCAGATTAATCTCAGGCATTTTGATCTATGTTTGCTTAACAGCAAGGCACCAAGGACACACTTGATAGTGAGTCATGATATATCAAAACAAACACTGTGCTGCAAAAGACACTTGGGAATGGTGGATGGCCCTGTATTACTGAAATCTCTCCGCCTACTCACATGGCAGCTGAACACAAGTCACATTCATTTTTGTATGTTTTCCCATCAGTGCCACAGACTGGTTGTGAGGATTTGCTGCAGAAAATCCTTCCACCCTTTACCCCGTGCAGAATTCGATCACAGTCCAGCTGAAGAGAGAAAGAAATCACATTTGGTGCTGGTTCACTTGCAAGATCCTCCTTTACGTGACTTAAAAGCGCTTACAAACCAAGCCTTGCCATGGGGCCCCTCTGCCCTGCAGCACATCCACCACACCTCCAGCAAGGCCAGGCTTGTAAAGATCTAGTGTCTCTTGTAGGACCAGCCAGCCAAGCTTTTGGGGACAGAGCCCTCCCTGCCCGGCACAGACTCATTCATCTGATCCACCTTGGCACATTGGTCCAGGGCAGGTTTATTTCTCTCACCAGGGATCCACAAGAAGATGAAAACTTCTGCTACCTGTCCCTAGTCCTCCTTATCAGGGCTTTGATGCCGTTTCATCTCCAAGAACAAAGATGAAACCCATTGGCCAAAATTATTGAAAAACCTCTACAGCAGACTCCCACTGCCCAAGGGCGGTGCAACATGCAGCACAACTTCTGACACCCAATGAATTCAGAGACACAAACATATATGAGCAGCTATGACTAATTAAGGGTGCCCTCTTGTTTCCTCTCGAGCATGACAACAGGAACATTTAGACACAGCTTTCCTTACAAACCACACGTGGCACAACCAGGACAAACTCATAACAGAAGGAGTGGCCTTTGGGGACCCCAAAAAGCCTCTCACACTTAGGTCTCCACCCTACAAGGACACCAGGGCAGGTGCTTGCAGAGTCATAGCAAATTTCAAACAGCAGAGGTCAGAGATACCACAGCCTGTTCCCTGGCACACACACAGCCCCTTCCTCAGCCTGGCCACCCACCTCTGTTCCAGGTGTTGAAAAAAGACCAAGATGAGGAGTGACTAATGGGTTCCCATCCCCTTCTCCGGGTGCTATAAGACATGTTGCAACAACTGCAAATGGTGCAATCAGAAGAGAGCTGCAGCTGGGACGGAGAGGACATTCGGCCTCCTGTCCCACCTAGAGATGCACCATTTAGCACAAACTGATGGTTTATCAACAGCACCATGGGGCAGGAAGCACCACAGGGAAGGAAGGTTTCATGCCAGGCGGCACGGGGGGGTTGGTGACATTGGGGTGCTGTGATAGCACCTGCTGGTTAAGCATCACTTGCTAATTTCATTAATGTGCTGCTTCCTCTCTCATCTGGGTAATTACTGATGACATGAAAGCAGACAACACTGACCTTTGCAATTCACTGCTAGATGCCTTCCTATGTGCAAGACATTGCTGCCTGCAGTATGACCCGTGTGCCTGCATTACTGCCAGGGCAGGCAGCCACCCCACCAGCAGCCCCACATATCACAGGTCCCAGCAGCCAGTACCACCACTCCTTTGGCTCTGGGGAGTTGGAGCTGCCTGTGACAAAACCCACGGGTGGCCCTGGAAAGAGGAGAGGAGCAGATTTGCTCTCTGAATCACCTCTCATCAGTCAGGCTCATCAGCATCCACTCCTCCCCCAGTGCTACCAGGAAATACCACTAAACCCTGAGACAGACTGGAGTTATTACGCCTAATGTTTCCTCTGGAATGCATCAAAATTGCTGTACCTGAACCACCTACCAGGATTTTTTTTTACTCAGTTATCCCTTTTCTAGAAGTGGTCAGTGACAGGGGCTTCAGAGAGAGTTAAGGCAGTTCATAGTAAGGTCCCTCCAGCCCCACAGAAACACATTGCCAAAACGTTATTTAAATTACTGCATACAAATGCTGGAGGGATTAAAACATCAGGTCATTTTTTTTAACCATCCTAGCCCTTGACAACACCCTGTGACAGCGAGATCCACAGTTTAGCCTCTCTTTTTATGGTAACTTATTTTCTCTTATTAGTTTCATGTTTTCCACTTTTAGCTTCAATGAAACTACTGCATTTTCTTTTTGTGGAGACAAGGGAAGGCAGACACCTTCATCTTCCTCCCATCTTATTCCATACACATCTATCACTCAAGTGTTTCCCCCTTTAGCACTCCCTCCCCTGCCAAACCTTGTCCTCATCCCCTGGTCAGCTCCATCACCCTGCTCCAGCCACGGCCTTTGACTCAGCACCTTGTCAACATGTGAGGGGTGGCACTCCTTGCCCCACTTAGGCTGGATGCCTGCCCCACACGTAGCCAGAGCTCAAGGCCAGTACCCTCATAGCTGATGTACTTCCATAAGGAACCAACACCAGAAGCAAAACTGGCTTAGAAGGGTCCTGTATGGGCACATCCAGCCCTGCTCCCCTTCCCTCTGCTTCAGTGCCGGGGGATACAGGGGCTAGCATCGAGATACGGATGCTTTCACTCATTCAAACCCTTCCAAGGACATGAGGCCAAGTGAGAAGCTTTAGGGTCACAGCAGGAATGGGAGCAGCTGCTGGGAAAGGAGCCAGCAGGGGCTCAGCACCAGTGAAGGAGCACCCAACAGGACAGGTCCCTGTTTCTGCCCATGCAGATGCCATCCGAGATGCAGGAGGTGGGTTTACCAGCTGGTAGGTGTCGGTGTCTCTGTTCTGCGCCTTGTGGCCAGGTGCCAGGTTGCAGTTCCTGCCGCTCTGAGCCATATTTCCTTGTGGGCTTGTCAGGGAGAGAGAGCAGAGAGGCAGCTCATCACACCCCTCCAGAACAGGGGGAGCACAGTGTGAACCCACCCTCCCCACAAACCCCCACAGCCCTTGGGGACCTGCTTGCACTATGGAAGCACCCACCCACCAAGAGAGGAGAGGGCAAGAAGCCCCCCAGCCACATGCTAACAGGGAGGCAGCCAACAGCAGGACAAACCTTGCCCTCTGCACAACCCAAGTGAATGACCACCCCAGGTCTCTGCAACCCTGTCTGTCCACCAGCATTGCTTGGTGGGTGGGGAGATGAAGGGACTACAGGAGCCAAAAGCAAGAAATCTCAGAGCTCCCCAGCAAAGGCTCTGAAAAAGCACCGAGTCCTGCCCAGGTCCAGCAGCTATAAAACAAACAGGAGTGCCTCACCAGTGCCCAGAAAGCACATGGTGCGTCAGGCACTGCCTCTGAGCCAGCGGGTGAAGATGAGCCAGGGCCAGGCAGCAGACATGCCCTGTCAGGAGACAGGGTTTGCTGAGCAAAGGTGTCCTGAGAAGGATTTTGAGCACAGCAATCACTGGTGCTTCGTGCACAGGAAAGTCAAGGACAAAAAGGAGCAAGGGTTGCTTTGCTTGCATGAAAAACATGCCCCACTCTACACATCTCTTCCCCATCACCGGCTTAGCCAGTGGGGAGAAGTGCTGTACTAAGCACCAAACACTGCAGCATTCAATTCTCCATCCCAGGCAGTGCCACTTGCGTGCTACTGAACTATTCCTGCTCCAATTAACCTCCTAACCACCCCTAGGAAAAAAAACATGTAGGTAGAAGGGAGCAGAAACCAGTGCCGGGGCTTGTGGGGTGGTCAGGGGGACAGGCTGCTGCTGTACTCACCCTCTGTTCGACGAGAAGGGACGTCTCTCATTCACACCCTGCTGTGATCCTGAACCACCGCAGCTCTTCTGCAAAAGGGGCAGGATCACATTCAACAACCAAGCATAGAAACAACTTTTATACAACTAGAGAAGAAGCAAAGCTAAAGCAGCTCCTGTCCTCCCCCCCTCCTCCTCCCAGACTTAGGATGTTGCAGGGCTGTTCCTGGAGAAGCAGGTTTGATGCTTGCTCCATACAGGCTTTAATACCCACCAAGTGTCATCATCTGAGGGCTGACAGGACTGTGGGGAGTCTGAACCTGCCCTTTATCTCACATATAGCATCACACCATCAGGAAAGCAAGAGGGGCTGTTCTGTCAGGTCCAAACATGCCCACTTTGTATGCTTACACACAGGTCCATCACCACAAATTAGCAAGGCTTTGCAATACAATCTGCTTCTCCCCCATCATTAGCTGGCTCCAGCATCCCAAGCACCATGGTCACCCCAAGCTAACCACAGATAGTCCCTGGCCATCAGGATCCCACAGACTCTCACCAGCCCCTTTATCTGAGCTCAGGGCAGGCTCCAAGTTCCATCTCACCTGGTTTGTTCTCTCCGAAGTGAGCGGTTTGTTGCGCTGGGCAGTTCCACCAGACTGACCTCCTCTTTGAGCTTCCTTTTTGCTGAAAGAAGGGGAGAGGAGGAAAAGAGTGATATGACAGTGCAAGTGCCACCGGGATCTAGGGCTGCCCTGTAAGTAAGTGTCATGCCATTAGGCACCACTTCCCCATCCACAGTTCCTGTTCCTGGTGGTCCTGTTCCTAATTCCCACCCCTAAGCCTTCTCCCTTCTCCTCACCATTCCCACTGTATGCTACATCCTGGATCCAGGTGGCTGCTTTCATATCAGGGCTCCTTCTGCATATGCTCTATGGGCATATGCATATGTAGAGAGAGAGAGCATCTGGAAGGCAAAGTACACACGTGGGAAACTCCTCAGGAGCTGCTTGCACCAGACAGTCCCCTGGGAAAGGGGCTGCTCTCTATCAACCTTGCTTCTCCTCCTCTACTCCACGCTGCTTCTCACCTGCCCCTGGGCCCTTCGTGCCGAAAGGGAAGTGGGAAAAGGGGCAATGGCCGGAGCCCTACTGCCAGAGCATCTCTTGGAGGGCCACTGGGATTCAGGACTCTCTCCCAGGCATCGCCTAGATGCAGCTCCTCAGGCAGAAGCTGCGGTTTCACAGCAGCAGGTTTCCCTCTTTGCTGTTGTTGCTCAGAGGAAGCTGTACTCACAACTTATCAGCACACATGAGACATTTGTTGGTGTGCTGCTTGCCAGAGGAATCCCGAACAGGGTCGTTCTCCCTTGTGCAGGACAGTCGTCCACCAGCTTCAAACTGGGAGCGATACTCACTGCAGTCATCCTGCAGAAAGAAGGCAGCGATTAGGGCACCCTGTCCTCCTCACCTTATTGATCTTAGAAATGTGGGGTTTTCTGCCAGGAAAGCATTGAACCATCACAAATGCATCACAGGAGAGCCTGGGTGTGGGCAAGAGAAGAGGGTGTGCAGCACCAGCCACTTAGTATCTAAACAGAGGAGTGAGTCAGAAAAATTATGGGTCCCTCTGCCTGCACAGCACGTGTTGGGAGTTTTCTAGTATGGTCCAACTAATTATTATTCTCCTTGTCGGGCTATTCAAAGCATGCCAGTGATGTGACCAATACAGTAATGAAGTCCCTCCCACTTCTCCCAACATCCTTAATACACAGCTACAGCCTTTTCCCAGATTGTAGCTCAGATAATAATTTCATTTACAAAGCGAGTAGTACCCCCAAAACCAACCACACTTTGGGACGTGTCTATCAAGAAGCAGCAGTTAAAACATAAAAGTACAATGCAAACATACTTAATAGACCATGAGCAGTGGAAGGTTGTTTGGAGAGAGAATGATTAATTTGTTCCCTGTTCAAAATCGCTGTACAGAAACTATGTTAATTTGCCCCTATTATGTAACATGGATGTAAACATTCAATCCCCCTACTTTCAACTATTTCAGATACTGCAATAGCAGATTCCAAACAGCAAGTACAGATAAATAACTGGATCCACTTACTCTACATTCAATCCCCCTACTTTCAACTATTTCAGATACTGCAATAGCAGATTCCAAACAGCAAGTACAGATAAATAACTGGATCCCACTTACTCTATTTTTTTTTTTACAAATTGGTTTTAATACTTGCAATTTTCTGCCCATTTTGTGCATAGGAGTTTTGGCTAGCTTGCATTAAGGTCCTTAGCAGGTCACTGACCTCATCCTTTGCTCCGCTCAGAAGTTTCCAGCACCTCGTCCTGTCTGCCAGGGGAAGATTTCCCCAGCATTGTGTCTTGCATCCCACCCGGGGCACCTCAGCTTTGCTGCTGGACTAACGCTGGCAAAACACTCAGTACAAACCCCCACATTTCCCTAGAGCCAAACTAGCCATGGGTAGGAGAGAGATGATCCAGCGCAGGATGAGCCTGCACCTGCTGTGGTCAGCAGCCACATTGCATTGCTCCCATCAGAAATAAATGTCGCACCCCACCTCAGAGGGGCTGCCCGAGAGGCTCACTGCTTCTCCCCATCACCAGCGTGTGCTCACACCCCTGTGCAGTTCAGGCAATGCTTTCCCTCCCCAACAAGCCCGGAAAAGCTCTCCCAGCCCCTCTGTGCCTCCATCCCTGTGACCAGCCCAGCACCCCGATCCTCCGTCTCCAAGACGGATCTGCCTTCCCCTAGTAGCCTCTCAAATGGTCTTCCTTTGAACTAGCATTTCTGGAGCTCTGTTAACTTCCCGACCTCTGCTGCAAAAACCTCGCTGAGTACATTCAAGACTTGCATTTGCCTTTTTCATGGCCTGTCGCACCCCTGACCCACTAATGCAGGGCTTTATCCTTTGTCACTTCTAACAGTAAGGAATTCTAACAAGCAGGAATTCTTGTTAATCACTGGCTCTGTGATCTTGCACTGTTATTACATTTTATCTTATTTCTATTACTCCAGGCCTCAGCACTATCCAATTAGTCCTGAGTGATCTGCTGATCCTCCCCTGCTGATCCTCCCTCCCAGCTTTGCCATCAGCAAATTTCACCCACACTTTCATTTCTTTGTGCCAAAATCTTTAGGAAAAGCACTGAAACAGGATTATCCCCAAGATTTGAGCTTAAGGGGACCACACCAGTCCCTGCCATGGCAGAAATCGAAAGGTAAGTGTTGGAAAGGGACTTTCTTCCCCCCTCTTACAGAACTGCTTTTGCCAGGAAAGCATCAGTGCACAGGGGCACAGTGGCTGCAGGGTGGCAGGGCAAAGGTGGCAAATGGCAGCATGGTGAGAACAGTTTCCAATGAGAAAAGCTAAAAACTGAGCTACAGGCCCATGGAGATAGCGCAGGGCTGAGCTCTCCTCCCAGAATATAATGATGTCTTGAACTTTTCAGAGTTTTTCACCCAGATTTTTCATTTTAACCTAATTAGCACCCTCAGCAGCACTGGCTTCTCCACCCTTGAGCCAGGTTTCAGGACAGTACAGCACAGCCAGTTTCTTATTCTGATGGGATTTGCCTGTCCCTAAATCCACAGGTCAGTGGGATAGACCATAACATTCAGGCAAGTTGTTCACGCTCTTGAATCCCCCAAGTGAACAAGAAATAAGGAGGGAAAGGAAAGTGGATCTCAAAGTTAAATCAGTAGAGACAGAGCAACTCAGTAGAATAATGTTGTCTTTTCTCCATCTTGGGTGAAAATCCAATAAAGTTTTATATTGACCTACCTAATACTTTAATCTCACCTTATCTTTTCCTTGTCTGTTTTTAGATAACTTCTGCTCATTCTCCCTTTTGCTGTAAGAGAAGCAAGATGAGAAAGTGAACACCACAGTGCTCCAGGGAGCAAGAGGTTTTCCCTGCCACCGGCTGGAGGAGGAGCGAGTGATCCCGTCCACTGGCATCAGCAGCCGGGTCACTCCAACAGCCGCTTTCTCAATCTAACCAAAAAAGCTGTTTTTTCCTCTACTCACAACTTCTCTGCACACATGATGCACTTATTGCTGTGTTGCTTCCCAGAGGAATCCCGGACAGGGTCATTTTCTCTGGTGCAGGAAAGTTTCCCTTTCTCGAAGAGATCCCAAAACTCTCTGCAGTCATCCTGTGGAAGCACCAAAAACATGGGTTGTCACAGATATGCTGACAGAGAGAGATGCATCTCCCACAAATCCACAAAGAATTATACACCAATGAATTACGTTTCACACTGTTTCATTTCCTTGAGGCATAACTCAGTGGAAAACCATAGTTTGCCTGATGTGTTCTCTTAAACTATAGCACGCAACATAAAACAAATAAATCCATATGTTTAGATGAGCACATTTGTCTTTTGCATCCTGGGTAGTCTTATTTCTAATAGATAAGACATGCAAGAGCCTGCCCAAAGGACCTAGGTTTTGCTCTAAGTATAAAAGCAACAATTTCTTAGTGAATTTTGAAGGAGGAAATCAGTTTTCCCATCTCTTATGAATGAACACACTACCAAGAATTTTAAAATCTATGCACAGTAAAAAGATGAAGCTGCAGGCATTAAAAAAAAATTCTTGTACACCCTCTTTCCAGGTATGCTAGAGTAAGAGGTGGGCATTTTTACCTTCCATTTAACATGACATTATGCATTAACTGAAGCAAAGCACTCTTTCACAAAAGGCTTTTGTAGCAAAACCTGCTTAAGCATTTCAGTCTGGTCTTTAATTTCCTCTGAACATATTTCCTTTGACTTTCAGGACACGCAAGCAGGTTTGTAGCATAAGAAACACATGCTACATATGAAGCCTTTAGGATCCTTTACGCAGCACTTTTAAGGTTATCTGCCATGTGATCTGCATTTTTTCCACCCCTCACATTGTGTAAAGGAGATGGTTTGATAACTTATCCTAGCTCTGCAGATGGGGAAGTCAAGTCCAGAAAATTACTTGCCAAAAGCCAGACAGAAAACCTGTGGCTGAACAAAGAAATTCAGCATACGTCTCTTCCTGACACTGTAAAACTGTCCTTCTGCCTTCAGGACCACACTTTGGCAAGTCAGGTGTTTAAAAAAGCTTTCCCTTAGGACAGCTATGCTTTACAAAGCCTTTAAATTGCCCAGACGCACAAGAGCTAGAAAGCTACCCTGCTTAACCAAATGTAAAAAAAAAAAAAAATACATCACTGCAACCAACGCTATCTGATGGAAACCAATTCACTCCTGCCTAGAATAAAAACCCAAGGCTCAAAAAGGCAAGTCCCTCCACATAAAGACCTGCTACTTAGAAAAACAGCTATGGGTAAAAGAAACCAGCTAGGTGCATCAACAAGATAAACAAGGGACAATTAGAGCCAGCCTGCTCCCACACCCTGCCCTAGTCACAGCTCACAGGCACCATCATTGTTATTAATTATTTGTCAGATGCCAATGGTGTGCCTTATAAATAGGCAGGTATCCTCCTTAGCCTATACTCTGGGTCAGGCACAGACCATATGTGCCATGTCGGTAATTGCCTGATAGGGACTAGATTGCCTGGGAGGAGGCGCGAGGAGTTTTAGTTTCTTTTATGCTCATGGATGGCACAAAGCCTCACGCTGCTTCGGACCCTCTTGCCGAGGCAGAGCATGTTTGCCCTGCTCCCATTGCAGACACATCGCCAGGCCCTTCCACATCGGCCAAGCCAGCATTTCCCACACCGCAGACAAGGAAACACACTCAGCAAGTGGATCAGAGGCAGAAGACGCAATGTCACCACATCATCCTGCTCCTGGCGCACCGATAAAACTGGCTTTGGTAGCGATGTTTCACCTCACCTCTCCCGAGGAGTTCACATTCCTGTTTGCCTCTCCACCACTCCCTTTGTTTTTTGAGTCTCTTTCCCTGCAAGAAAGGGAGGCGTGAGTGACAGAGCAGCATGCAGTCCTCAGACATAAAACCAAAATAGCTAGCGATTAAAGGACAGTCCTGCCAACCCCACCTCCCCATTGCGCAAGGCAGCGGGATGCACCGGCACTAGGGCTACAGCTCGGTGAGACATGCCCGAGGTATTTAGCATCTCTGCACTGGGGGCATTTTGCCATCCTTTCTCTCTGCCTAACATCCAGGTGTTTCCATTCTATTAAACACCATCTATAGAAACAAGAAACTAAATCCACGTGTGTTTTCACCCTGGATTTGCTCCTCACACACTGTGGTGTTCCCCCCCATGTGATGAGCTGGGGAGCACTACTGGGTTCAGAGGTGTGCTGAAGAGCTACAAACTGGTCCATCTGGCCCAGGACTAAAATTTTACTCTGCAGAGTGAGACAGAGCCTCCTGAGAGCTACAGGAGAGGACATGCTGCACACGGGTAGGATAGCCGCATGAACCGGTGGGTGGCCGATACTCACAGCAGCCTTTGGCACATCAGGCACTTGTTGAGGTCTGCTTTGCCATCCGGGCTGCTGACAGGCTCCTTGTGGGTGGGACAGGAAAACTTCCCACTGCGCAGAAGTGACCAGATTTTCATGCACTCATTCTGAAAAGCAGAAGAGGACAGTCAGTGGAGGCTCCCTCGGAGGCCATCAAGAACCTGAGAACAGTTTGTTCACATTTAAGCTTTTTTGGGTGGGCTACGTGCTCTCAACAGCAATAGCCTGTTCACACCAGGCCTGGGGCTACCCACGGTGCTCATCCCCATCCCTCACCACGCGTGGTACAGGCTGCACCCAGAGCCCCACTCGTGGCTCCCGAGGCAGAAAAGACAAGAAAGTTCAAAACCCATTGCAAAGGCCATTATTCATGGGAAGAGGAATACATATTTAATTTGCATACAGCTGCAAATTGCTACCCGCTGCAGGGGAGGACTCTATAATATAGCCAAGAGCAGAAAATATAGCCCTAGAAGTGCCAGTGGGATGCAAGAGTAATGAATTGACCAGAGTGACTGAAGAGCAATTCAGGCGCAAGACTGAAGCAGAGAAAAGCACAATCCTTTTAGGAAGCAGAGCAGTACTACTGCGTAATGCTGCATCAACCAATTGCCTCTTCTGCTGGGTAACTGAAATGCAGACTAGGGAGAATCAATGAACCATTTAGTTATTTTTGGCTACTGTGTTTTCCAAAAGGGTCTTTACCAAGGAGACAAAAGCTTGTTTGATTAAAACATGAATGGAGCTGACTTCTCAGTCATTGAATCAAATAATTTTCTGAGACTCAAAGGACTTGCCTTAATTCTTTTCATTATCAAACTTGGGAATTATCAGAAGCAGAGGTTTCTGCTGGATCAGAAGCAAAGTTCTGATATATCATTAGAAATATAATTCATGCCATTTCCATAGCTTCATCTCATGAGATTTCCAGTCCAGAGCTGTTTGGATATGTGCTCAGCATAGCGCACCAGACACGCTGTCAGCTAGAGCCACTGCTGTATTACAGAAGCATTGTCTCTAAACATGGAGAAATTCACTGCTTTTTCCATCACTGAAAAAGCATTATGATATCTAAGTATAGTCCATCTAAATGACTTTACTTAGAGCATGCATTAAGCAGTGTAGTTGGCAAAACAAAAGGAGAATCAGAATAGAAAAGTTTGGACTCGCCTTAATTGAAGCTTGGCTGGCAACATCTGCGATAAAAAAAAACAATGAAAGCACACAAAATCTTTGAAGGGAAATTTTAAATCAAAAGCATTTAATTAAAATACTTAATGCAGCTTCCTAATCCACCCAAATACTTCTAGATAAAAAGCTAAACCAATGCATTATCGTACACTGATAGAAAGGACTGCGCATTAGAGACTTTCTGGAACATTGCACTTGTCATTCTAATGCAAAAAGCACATACATTTTTTGCATCTTTGTGCCCTCCTTTACCGTGTTACTTTTCTCAGTCTTAACATCCAAGTTTCAAGGATGATTCAATAACTGTTTCTCTATTATTCTACCCCACTGCCTTGGTAGTTTTATCAACCTTACCCAAATATTTTTTGCTTTCTTCATCTTCGCTTAAAATTGGGATACCAGAGCTAGGCCTTATCATTGTTGTTTGTCCAAACCTTCAAATTCCTTTTCAACATCCATTCCATTTGCAGTACTTCACATAAATTGCCAAATTAATGAGTCAGCAGGTGGGTAGCTGATATCTGTTTCTTTCTACTAAGACACTTAGAGCTGGTATAACATGTTTCATCCTTTTCTCTTGCATCATCTGTGGCATCACAGGGAACCATCAAGAAATCCTCCATTAGTTCGTTTTCAGTGTAAATAGGCAGTAAAGTGAAAGACCATTGCATCAAGCCTAAGCTCCTGCTGAAGTCTCTCTATTGTAGCCATACAAAAATGCATTCCTTAGTAAGAGTGTTGACAAGAAATTCCCATTTTTCTGAATTTACCAGAAATTGTATTACACTTTTGTTCAAATCCAAGTTTTTTTTATGCAAATTCAGCCTGTTTGGAAATTTGTATTCCTCCACTTAGACAACTAGGGTTTTGGGTTGTCTTGTTTGTTCTTAAACTGTTAACTCTATAAAAATAGATACTTTCACCTATCAGTAGAACTTCACCATTTTCACATGCATGAGAAAAAGCCATTATCAAGAATGTGTTATATCAAATCAATACCAGTAGTACAGTAAAAAATGATGGTCTGCTGGTTATGCCGCTATGCTTTTTAAAGAATAAGGGCTCTCTAATCCTCTATCTCACTGTCTTTACAGGAGCTCCCAGGCTGTGTTCTGTGCCAGTCCCAGATTTCAGCACAGAGAACAGAAGTTACTAACCTGAGAAGAAGCAGAAAAATGCCAGAGCAAGGACCACCGAGGCACCTTCTATTTTCATGATGAGGGTGGCAGCTGTTTGCCTACGTTGTCTCTATTAGTGCATTGCTCAATGAAACCCAAAGAAAGGGCTCAGGTCAGATCACATATATATAGATGACCAGATTCTCCGCCTTCATTATGTCATAATCTTCCCAAGATCCATCATTAGCTGCAAAAACCAGTTTGATGACAGCAGCTCTAAATTCTAATGATCCCATTAACACAATTAATTTCCATAAGGATGGGACATATTTGAGTCACTCCCTACATTCTGTTAAGGTAAGAAAATTATGAATAGATCATTTCAGTTTCCCCACACAGCCAGAGGAATTCTTGCCATCTTCAGGGTGGTTCCGTGAGACAGAGGTACCCCAGTCAGCACACCCCTAATACCCATCATATCTCAACAAAATAGCTGAAAGGGTTTTACTTTAGTAACTTGGCTCCAGCAGAGACAACAGGAGGGCCAGCTCACTCAAGACCTCTGGAAGTCAGTCTGCTTTTATTAAAGCACCCCAGAATGAACCTAAATGGTAAGCATCCAGGCAAGGTTGAAAAACATCAGGTTTGAGGCCTTGTTGAAACTGAGTTTGTTGCTACAGTTCACGTAGCAGCTGTGCTAGTGAGAAAGCCATACTGCCAAATCCTTATCCCTTCCCTGTCCCTCCCTGTTGTCTTCAGAAGAAATTGCAGTATTATTAGTGAAAGCCTTTTCTCAGCTCAGGTGGGACCTGGCAGACCATATAGATACTGTTCAAGCAGATCAGTGCTCACAGAGGTGTGTTGTTATTGATGCTAAAGGGTCCAGCAAAGTAGCCCTGCTCAGAACTCTCTCAAAGAAGAGATAAAAATGAAGGTTGTCATCCTGTCCAGGGTTTCGCAGGAGACTCGAGAGGGGAAAATAAAGATGACAGTTTTGGAATGTGACTTACATGGGAAGCAGCTGTGTGCCTTGTTCTCCAGTGAAAAGAGGAGGATTTGAAAAGTCATTTGCAAGGTTTGAAACAGGTGGGTAAGTGAGAGAGTCGAGCAGACCAGAGCCACAAGGGGCTCGAGCATGGGCAAGCAGGCTGCAGCTGTGCAGAAAGGCAGGTTAGCACCATCTGAGGAAGGAAGAAAACATACTTCTGCAGGACATGTGTTTGGCCAGAGAGGCCAACACAGCTCAGTTCAGGTATAAACCCTTGTAATAAATTGCTGCCACGTTTCTCAGATCAGAACAGTTATTGGTGTTTACAACTGGAGCCAAAGCCAAGTAAGTAGAGAGTCCTAATTTAGTGTGTGGTCATCCCTAACATTTATTTTCAACTCAAAGCGAAATCATGTCCAGGTTCACAGTGGAGAGTTTGGAACAGAGAAGTAAACTGCCTGAGGTCATACAGATAGTTTGCGGCAGATCTGAAGAGCTGTGTGTTGCCCTGAATCATGAGATAATTTCTGTATGCGTATTTGGGCATGAAATTAGAGGGGAGGCCAACAGGAAGAGAAGGAAAATAACCTGATGTAGCATGTCTCAGTAAATCCTTGGGAGAGACTGGAAGAGATCCAGAATGGAAAAAGAAGAAAAAAGCATGGTAGTTTAAGAGTGGATAGACCTGGAAATCTATTTGAAGGACAAAAACAAAAGACATTCTTTGTTACTGAGGTGTCTTCCCATGAATCAGTGATGAGGTGGTAGGGTTTGGGGAGGGGAGGTGCATTTTT